GTTGTTGTTCTGACTCCGGTTGTGGTGCTTCAAGTGGAATGGCATCGAGTTCTTGCATGACTTGTTCCTGATCCGGATCCGTGGGAGGTATAGTTTCCCCGTCCTTTTTTCTTTTCGGAGCAGGAACAAAAGGAGCAGCAGGAGCACCGAGGCCACTAGGAATTGTCACAGAATCGGAACAGACGCCAAAAACATACACATGCCAGTCAGCCTCATCCACGGAAGCATGCAGCTGGCTGTGTGACATGATGCTCATGTCTTCCAGAGCCCCAACATGCCAGCGTCGAAGCTCGCCGTGGATCAAAAGCCGCGCGGGGGCCACCGCCGAAGAGGTTAGGCTCAGGAACCTGCAGCTGCCAGGGCCGCAGACACACAAGCACGCCCAGAACGTTCAGCACATCAGCAAAGATCTCCTGGAAGACACGCAGCAGGATATGATCCGTGAGCCAACGGCGAAGATGTCCAAGCATGACTCCAGTAGCTGTATAAGCGCCGCCTTCAGGTACAGCCGATTTTCAGAGCTGACCGTGAGGGACGAGTGAAGTTCCAATTGTACCCCAGAGTAGTCGCCGCTACGTGCCAAAAACTTGAACGGACCTGTGACCGCCTCCAAGTCCACTTGCCGAAGAAGAGGTGCCGAAGTAGAGGAGGAACTCGCTGCCTCGGTACCAGACGTTGGAACCCCCGAAGGTTCGGCTGTCCAAGTCGGCATTGACCCGGAACCATCGTATGTTCGCAACCGGGCGGTGCAGCACGTCCAAGTTGGCATCTCTCGCAGCTGTAGAGCATGTCCTGGAATCCTAAGAACTGGCGAGGCCACGGAGTACAGCGATGAGCTGAGGCCTGACGAAGTTGCGTCCACAGGTCTTGGCACATGAACTGGCACAGTCGTTTTGGATAGACTGCCGCCAACGCGGTCCGGCTGCAGCCTTGCCATTGGCCTTGCAGTTGTCCATGTTGCTGTCCTTTGTGACCGTTACATCGCTTGGCTGTCCGTGGCCACTTCCGGTTGGTAAGCAAAGCTGTAGCCTTCCGTATGGGAAGTTGATTCTCATCCTGCGCGCCATGCATGCACTGATCAATACGAATCACTTTGATGCCTGCATGGTCTCGCAGACGGCTCACAGGACTTGACTTCAGCATATCTGAACCGTATGGCTGTTCCACATTGAAGCCGCGGTGGTCGTTGTGCTGCCGCATCATGCTCTCATACAGGAACTCCAGAGTTGGGAGCTCCAGCCGTCTGTCCATCTCCCGGGAGTGGGCAGCCTTCTGAGATGACGCTGTTGACCAGGGAGTACAGCTGGGAGCTCCATGAATCAACTCCGGGCGGAACGCCTCCTGACACTGCTGTAGTAGTGCCTGATGAGGAGGATAGCCGACATCCCATCCGTAGCGGTAGTCGACGGGAAAGCCCACCATGACGTGAGCCAGCGCCAGGACCAGTGACAACCGTCCGCTCCCAGAAAACCATTCCCATGCTTGGAAACGTAGGCCTCGTCCACTGCAGTGGTCCATCCACTTCTGCACGTTCTTGGGGGTCACCGGTCTCCTGCCGGTCTGAGTGTAGAACTCTTCGGGGAGAGCCCGGTAGTGTTTTGCCGTCTTCCGTTTGCGAGAGTCCTCCCAATGATCTGGGAACTGATCCTCTGAGTACCTTGGAAAGGACGAAGGGTCGAGGGCTTCCGGCTCAGACGAAGTTCCCGTAGCCATGGTTGTCGGAGACGGAACGACCTCGGACTTCGCCGCAGGGAGAACTCTGAACGTCGTAACGCCGGTCCACAGGTACTCCATGTCCCGGCACGGAACTCGGGCTGTCTGCCAGTCGTCAGACAACACCCGCACGGCGGCTTTCTGAGGAAACGGCTTGATCTCTGTGAGTCGCTCTCCAGACAGTTGACTCTCCTGCATGGGACAGTCGATAGTGCACGAAGGCGTGAAGAGCATGCGTCGTGGGACTCTGTGACGCCGAACCAAGAACTCGCCTTCCATGACCCAATCATCTGTCGCCCTAGTCGAACTCGGACCATCGAGAAACGGCTTGACCACTGGTGACCCTCGTGCTGCGACATGCCTATTGGCAAGAACGGACCCAGATGTGGTGGACGGAGTCTTCGGAGTCGTGTCTCGGTTGTCTTCGAACTCTTTGGTTGTAGTAGATACGCTCGTGGTGGATATTGTCACATCAGCGCTCTTGTCATCACAATTCTTGTCTTTCATCGACACCTGGTTGTCGTAGTGGACCTCCGATGTGGTGGATGGAGTCTTCGGCATAGTCGTGTCTTGGTTGTCTTCGAACTCTTTGGTGGTAGTAGATACGGCAGTGGTGCATATCGTATCTGCTTTTGGTGTATTGAGTTCACTCCGCTCATGTTCCCGACATGGAGACGAGCACTGCCGCTGGAGGAAGCAGTGTCTCACGTCCGGCCACTTCTCGCGAATGCCCAGTGACCAAGTGAAAAGCTGTCTCTCCACATGTTGACGAGTGGTGTCAGATATGGCACCGTGGTGGTCGATGGGCAACAGGTAATGGCCGGAATCCGTCAGGAGCAAGCGCAGGTAGTGCCAGCCATTGTTGCCGTCGCTCACCACCACGACTCCATCTCCATTGTTGAAGTAGTCGAGAAGAAGAGACGCTTTCTTTTTCCGCAAGGAAGGGTTGCTGAGGAGAGCTGGGCACATGGAGCCTTCACCGCCAAGAACGTCTGCAGCGAAAGTGCCATCGGCTCCAGCGAAGCCCAAGGGAATGTGAACCTCCCCGAGGGTCGCCTCTGGCGTGCCATTGATGCCGCTCACTGAGTTCTGCTTCTCTCGGCACCATAGAACGTCATCGCCCGAGGGGAGGCAGGTTTCGATGATGTCCCTCAGCGTTTCGCTTCCTATCAATCCACTAGCAGCCCCCGGATCCACAAGCAGTCCACGACGCTTTTCTCCCAGCACCGTGCGGTAGCTCAAGTAGTCGCTGTAGAGCGCCGTCGGGAAGTTGAGGTGGAGTCTCCGGGACGCCGCTGACGTGGTCGCTGAGGAAGTCGCCGCGGCAGCCTGCTCCTCCGAGTCGTCGACGGCATTGTCTCCGCCAGACTCCTCAGCCGTGGGAGCTTTGTTGCGGACCAAATTGATCACCGGTGCTTCGTCCTTGTCCATCTGGAAGTGCACCGTCTTTGCAGCCTTGCTTTTGGCCGCAGGCTCTCCAAAGCTTTGAGCCAGGGTCTTGAAATTCTCGGAGAAGCCATAGTATCTTGAGCCTTTCTCCCAGCCAGGTCGCTTGCCTAAGCCCTTGCGCTGGTAGGAGGGCTTCTTTCCATATCCCTTCCAGCCTTTCGGCGCGTACTTGCCGTAGCCCTTCGACTTGCCCTTGTTTGGCTTGCCTTGACCTTGTCCTTGGCCGACTGGGCAAGACATCGCCGTGTGCCAACGAGATCCGCACACCGAACAACCGGGGCCTTTGCCTTTGCCCTTGCCCTTCACCGGGAAGGACTGGCTGTCCTGTGTCCCAGGCTCGTCAGCCTGGTAGGAGGCCTCGGTGTTCGGAGGCTGAGTGTCCTCAGGCCATTCGCCATGGTACCTCTCGTCGTCCTCCTGGTACCAGGCCTCCGTGGGGTCCTCGTAGTAGTCCGAAGGGGCGCTGTCTTGCCACATGTCGTCGTAGTGCTCCTCCACATCCTCGACCCATGACCAGCTGTCGTCCGTCCAGTAAGAACTGTCCCAGCTTCGGTCGTAGTGGTCGTCGAAGTCTTCCTGGAAGAAGGAGGAGTCGTGGCCAATGTCGTCCTTCTTGGTGGTTAGCCGAAGAGCCAGAGTCCTAGCATCCTGGAACCTCCGAAGGTCTCCTTGCAACTGCAACTTGATGTCCTCGATGAACTTCGTCGGCAAGGAGGAGCCGCGGAAGAACAGGTAAAACTTCGCCACGTCATTCAACTCAAGCCCTGCCTTGTTCTGCGCCTCCTCCAGTCTGAAGTCCCACTCCACGCTGTACTCCTGGAAGGAGAGGCGATTGCCATGTCCCCTTCGGAACTCAAAGAACTCCTCGATCGAACGGTTCACAACTTCTTGGTCACTGAGTCCGAAGGCCTCCTTCAAGGAGTTGCATAGGGCTTGCACTCCCGAGGGGATGCTGCGTTGCAGCACTATCCGTGCATCCGAAGGATCTCGTACTTCTTCAACGGAAAGGCGCACTAGTGCGTCGCTTCCGACGTCGTAGCCGCCGTCCGGGCGGATCAACCGTAGGTTCATCCCCAATCGTTGAGCCTTTCCTTGAAGCCGGCCCGCTACGAGCGGACCCACCAGCGTGTCATCTCCTTCGAAGATGCGGTACCAGAGCTTCAACCGCTCGAAGTAAAGCCTCAGCGGATAGTCTGCCAAGCCAGGGCACCAGCCAGGGGGAACGTCCCGTCGAAACTCGTGAAGAGGGATGGTTTTGGAATGTCCCGGCCCATGGCTTGAGTCACCCATTGTTAACCCCGTTGGTCTGGTACTCCTTCTCTTCGTCGCTCGCACCGTAGAAGAACTCTGAAGCCTCCGCAAAGTCCAGGAGGTCACCCAGGAAAATTTCAGAGAGATTCTCGGAGCTCCTGATCGGGTACTCGAGATCTCGATGAAAATCGTAGTGCTCGTAGTGCATGTGGTTGACGTGGGTGAGCTCGCCGCTGAAAAGCTGGGCGGCTCTCGAATTTCCGTAGTGGCTGTTGTGCACAACGATGCACGTCTTGATCAAAGACAGCCAGCAGCAAAACACGTAGAAAAAGGTCTGGATCGTGTTGCCGGAGGGAGCTGCACGTCGCAGCTCGAGGGTCAGCGCCCTCCGGCAGCCAGGCGCTTGGAATTACGCTAAGAGCCTAAAGAGGCTCCGCTACCAAACTTGGATCTCTTCCTTTCTTCGGGCCCAAGCCGGCTGTCAGATGTCGAGTGCGTTTGCCTATACAGACTATACAGCAAATCTTCACTCGCAGACTGTCGCAGCCGTGGCAGCCGATGGCTTTCTTTGCTGCGGTTGAAGTGGCTTGGACACTCGACGGTGCCAGGGAATCGTCGGAATGCGAGGCAGAGGACCTGGAACAAGCCGGGAACACGCTGAAGTCGAGACTGCGAGATCTGGGCCGCTGACGGGGCGGAGGCGAGAGGCTCGGCCAGGGCGGTGACACGAGTGGCCGGAGACTATTCCGTAGCTCTGCACGAAGGAGCTCCTGACACATGCAAAACCCAAACTGAGGTTGAAAAACCTGGAAAGCCACTGCCAGCTTGAATCTTGAGTCTTGCAATGCCGAAAATTCGTGCTGCGAAGAGCCTGCTGAGCGAATGTTCTTCGCGGCAAAGCTCCCTGCATACTCAAATATTGACGGTGAAAGACGGCGTCAGACTTTCCGATGCTTGAGCCGTGTGCTCCACCCATCGTAACTCCTGCTCCTGCTCATGCTGCTCTTACTCCTCGTGCTCCTCCTACTCCTGCTGCCGTTGCTGCTCCTGTTGCTGTCAGTGCTACGAACGACCTGCATCCAAAATCACCAGAACGACTGACAGCGACAGATGCAAGCACCACTGCTACGGAATTATTCTCAAACAGAGGACTGAGAGACTGGATGGCTGGCCGGCCCGGCTTTGCTACTGGCTGATTCTTTACCTATCACCTTGGCGAAGAAAACAAGCAAAAGCATGCTGCCGGTGCAACTACCGACGCTGAAAAGTCTGCCATCTCCGGCTTTCCGTGTACTCTCTGCGACCAGACCACCGGCAAGAAGCGACAAGCTTGAAACTGCCACCTGTTTCAGACCCGGGTACCGTCCTGGCCCTGTGCCAAAGCTTGCAGTTCCAGGAGTGCCACCTCGGCAAGGTGAAACTGTGAGGTCGATCGTCCCTGCAGCCCAGTTGCCTGCAGCTCCTTGTCTTTGGCTGCGCTAAGCTCCGCATACTTCCTGAATGCAACACACAAGCACGTCAACAAGCACTCGACTCTGCAAGGCTTCTTCATATCCACACACACACACACACTGTTCAAAGTTGACGCCGCGTTTCTTCTTTACCTCCGCCAATTCGGATGCACCCTCTGCACGCCCCATCTGTGCTGCTGCATCTGCCTTTTCCTCCAGGGCCTCGTCGCGTGCATTCCAAAGTGCAGCCACTCATTCAGTCAGAAGAAGAAGCAAAGGGCCCTGATGTTACCTAGTCAAAAATGCAGAAACATGCACAACTCGTCGCCAGGCCTTCACGGTACGTTCCAGGCTCTGCAGCCGCGCCTCTAATTGTCGGTTCTTCTCCTCTCAGCCGCAGGGGTGTCCACAGGGCTTAAACCTTTTGGCAGACGCACCTTCTCTTTCCGAAGCAATTCTTCCGTGTCCACCAGGCGCTTCTCCAATGCTTGGTTGCGCAGCGTCACCTCAGATAGCTCTGAAGTCTACAGCACTATGGCAATTGCGTCAAGCTGCATCAAGTCAGAGAGCCTTCCGTCTGACCAGCATACGTGGCAACTGTGAGTGATTCCCAAGCTCGCAGTGCCTCTTCTGCGGTACTGCAGGCTTCTTGTGCCTTCTTCTGTGCGTCGTCCTTTTGCCTTTCATGTTTTGGACAAGCACGGTCAATGCAACTTCCACCAACCTTTTCCGATTCAGGGCTCCAGCTGCAGCTGCAACTCTCTAGTCTGGGATCCATCTACCAAAAATGCTCGTCGGCGGCCAAGCTACATCAAACCATCTATCCGTTACAGTGCATGTCACAATGATCGACAGCGGTGGGGCGTAACGATATTCTGTGCAAATTCGCTCTGCTGTGCCAGGTGGGGCAACTCGTTCAAAAGCTGCTTTGTTTAGCTTTTCCGAGGCAGCTTCTAGCATGGTGCATGGCCGCTGCCGAATTGCAGCCGGCGCTCTCGCATCGCACACCGTTTCGCGCTTGTGTAACGGCATCCTGCAAGTGATTAGAGATTCGACGACTCTCCAGTTTTGCGACAGTCGTAAGCCGATGCGGTGTAAGTTTCGAGTAAAGTCGGTTCAGGGCCTGCGACCTGCGCAAAGTGCAGGGAAGCCAAAACAGATTGCAGATCATGTCACGCGGCTGCTTCTGCTTGCTCTGAAAGCCGAGGGTCAGTCCACACATCATCAAGCATCTTGAGGGTTTGCAATCCGACTTCTAGCACACACAGCGGACGTTTTGGAGATCAGCGTCTTGGTTTGCTGGTTCACCTTTCATCTCCGGGCAGGCGCACAACACACTCTGGAGCGAAGAGGAACTGGCGGTCATGAGGCGAGATTTGAGTATCTATCCATTGCTCCACTCGCCGGGCCTGGCACGACCCGGATAACATGTCGCGCACTTTTGAGGCGCGATCGGTTTCAGGGAATCGTGCGGACGGCGAATCAGCTCTCCTCTCTGCAACACGAATCGCTTGCTTCTCTACTCGGCCTTCTTTCCGACTCGTAATTCTGCTGGAGATCCGTGAGGCTCTGCCGGTGTGCTAAAGCCTTGAAGGAAGGGAGAGGCTGAGGCAAGTGCACCAGGCTTTCAGACATGCTTAAGGAGTGACATTACAAGATGCGCACCGCCAACAAACAAATGGCAGAACAGAACGTTGCCTAGGCCCACCTGAACTTAGAGCGGAAGGCAAGGCTCTGCACGTACAAGAGAAGACCGGGAAACTGTCGCCGCTTCCTGATCATATCTTCGTTGCGCATCTTCGGCACGACGCTCAGCTTCGTCTACGCGCCTCTTTAGGCGGTTTACGTGGCCGAAGCCCTGGGTCCGTGCTCGCCAGACCAGACAATGCCGACGGAGCCTTCTGTCTTCTTCAGATGCTTCGTTCTTTTGCCGTAGCTTCTCCTGCAATGTCTGTACCTGGCCACCCCGAGCCGGATCGCTACAACTAAGAGGCCTCAAGTTGCGCTCGGTGCCAAGCGCTGTATATCATGGACCGTGGCCAAGATAATGTTAGATTTTCCAGTGGTGAAAAGAACGCAAATGGCAACAACAAGGCCAAGATGCCAGACTTGTCCGTAGAGACGGCCGTGGCACTTTGAAGGAAGTCTGCTGAGCTCTGTTTGACGGAGCGGCTTTGACAAGAGAAGCTGCACGTGATCCCTACATCCTACGTGCCAAATGCCGATGCCAAAATCGTATTGGAAGTTTCGTCATTCTCTCGGCTTTGTGATGCACGGGGACCTCCGCCTCCGATCCGCAAAACGTATGCCCCCCCAGAGTGCCACCGAGGACAGCCGCAGCAGGGCTTACAGGAATTGGAACTAGACTTCAAGATTCAGCGTGTCGGCTTCGTTTTGTTTTTCGCGAAAGCAAGAGCAGAGGCACAGACAAAAACGAAACTATGACCACACCAGAAAAAAACAAAGTCGGGCACAAGTTCACTTTGAACTTTGATGTCACGCACATTTTCACCCACACACAAGAGGACATGGTTCGCCAGCTAGCTACGGCCAAAGCGTGTGACCGTCTGTGTGCAATCTCAATCCGTGCGAAACACGTCGTTGCGCCACCAGCAGCTGACAGATCACTACGGTAGCCATTGCCAGCAATCCAGCAGAAAGGTGGTACCAGGCTCCTTTACAGTTCTGTCTGGACCGCAGGCGGCATGCTCGTCAAAGGTACCACATATCATGCTCACTTAACATCGACGAGGAGCATCGAAAACGGAAGCAACGTTCTTCAATCCAAAGAGACTAGGACTCGAATGGACTCGATATCCACACCCACTTGTAGAACCAAAACGGTCTGGTGTGCATCACCAAAGAGAGCTCGTTGATGATCCGATGCCTGCAGACACTTGCACTACGTCACTGGGTCACTATCTAGGGTTAGCCGTTTTTGCACATCGGACTTCGTGCAAATGGCGCCTCCTTGATTGCAGCTACATGCTGAGCTTCTTTGGCGTCCAGCTGTTGCCTCACGATATTCCGAGAAACGTCAGCAAAGAGCCCGAGCCACAGTGGCCTCAGCTCCTTTCGCTCCTCCAAGACCGTCTGCGCAGGAACTCGAGCCCGCAAGAAATGCGCAAGTGGCAACAGATGTCGGAGAGACTTCACCAGGAAGGCCTCGTAGTACTTCTTTTTTTGCTGGGCCGCTGTCGTCCTGGAAGCATGAAGACAAGAAGCCCTTAGTCCATCAAGGAAAGCCCGGACCGCGGAGCATCGCGGAGCCTCCAGGGTCTCCACGTCGACAGCGAGCTTGACATTGATCCCGTTTTCACATGGTCGAATGTTTTCAACACCTCTAGATCTAGATCCACAGTGACCCTGGGACCTTTAGTCACGTAGGACAGTCTCGCAGAGGCCGTAGACACTTTGTTGAACCCACGGAGGCTGTGAATTCTGAGAGGTGCTGGTATCGAGCCATGTCGAGGTGAGGCAGACTCCAGCTTTTCGATAACGAAGACAGCGATGGCAGGACATGTTCAACAGGTGAACTTGTGTCACATCTCTTTTCATCCTCAATGGCAAAGAAGCCCTTTGCAGTAAGTTCTGTCCCTGCGAAAAGATACTTCTTCGGGATCCTTAGAGGCCAGGCATGTGCTCTGCGTTGCCTTCCCAACACGTGACCAGGTGAAACTGACACGGTGCAATGTGCGGCCAAAGGGAATCTGTCTTCTTTCTGAACTGCGAAAAGTAACTAGGCATGACGGTGCTGACAGCTGTCCGATCTTCGCCTCTTGGCGATTCCCCTGCCGCCAACGGCCCTCCTCAGAATCCCTTCCCATCGTTTGCCAGCCTGGGCCACCAGCTCCTGTGACCGTTCACAGGCATACTTCTAACAGACACAGCACTTGAACTCGTGGCCCCACCTTCAGGCGAGCATCTGCAGCTGCACACCTACGATAAGCACTGCAAAGCCTTACATGTTCCACAACTTGGTCATCAGTGGAAACGGAAAGTACTATGCCAGCGGAGATCCAACCAGTGAATGACCATGCTAGAAGCATGCAAACGGGCCTGAATTGGTTGGGAAAAAAAGGCCGCAACTAACTAGCTGCCAGCTGTGCCCTTCCAGCATTTACCCCATGTTACCACCCACGACTAGCACTGTAGCACGGTGAGCAGGATGATCACGACGACCAGGACGACAACAACTAGGAGCAAGGGACCACCAAAGCACCACGAAGAGACAAGCAGGTGCGAGAGCAGCAAGTGAAAAATCACGACACCAAGAAATCACGAACAGACCAGCAAGAGATCACCAAGAGAGTACCAGGAGACAACAACCAAGAGACCACCAAGAGACCAGCAGGAGGGCCGGCAGGAGATCCCGGAAGACCACCAGGAGACCAGGAGGACATCCCCAGGAGCCAGGACACTGAATCTGCTTTCACCCAGGTGGCACATTGAGCACGACTCCCCGAATGCATTCTTTGGACGCTTGCGAGATCCAGAGGGACACCCGAAATCTTTGCCACGAGTTCTGCTGCGATTTAGGGGCTGCGAAAGCAAGAAGTTGTCTCTATAGTATTATTTGCAATGGATCGGGCTCCCCGGGATGCACGGCCCGCACGGATTCGCGTTTGCTGGAAAGCAATAGGAGCTTCTTTGCGAGATCTTATGCCATTTCAATCAATACAATCTGCTTCTATCGCAATAATCCCACAGTACACCACACTGTTTGGGAAAAACGGAAAGCCCAACATTTTCCTATTGTCTTCATTGGTCTTGGCTTCAGTTGGTTAGCTCCAAACATCGGTTTACGAAAGACTAGGCCGCTAGGCTGGTGGACCCCGCCTGTGCAGGTTTGAAGCAGCCAAGCGTTGAACCCGTCGACTGAGCCGCACCTCCCAGGAAGCCAGGGAACGTCCAAGAAAGTGAAGGAGATGCAGGCCTCTCCATCACCTTTATGACTCTACAATCGCAAAAGATGGCAGACGGTTGTCGAAGAAACTCCCTAAATTCAAGCTCAAGCTTTGCATTAAGTCGGTGTAGTTCCCACGTCGGGAACTGAGCTGACTAGGCTCTCTGCTTACTCCCCGGGCATTTCAAAAGCCACATCGGTGACTGTCCATCGTCCGGCCAGCATGTACGCAAATGAGAAAAGCACTGCAAACACCACTGACTTCGGTCTGCAATCCGGCAGCACGTCCAACTATCGCAGACAAGAAAAGCGTGGGCAGAGACGAGAACGATTCACGAGCAAGAAGGGCCAACAGGCAGGCTGGAACAGTACGCCCAAACGGGTGGCCGACAAACAGCTGCCGGTTGCTGCGGAGTCCCATGCTGAAGTCACATCTGGCGTTCTGACTGTCGGATCCAGGTGTTTTGGTTTGCTTTGCAACATATCCTTTCGCTGAGCATTCTGATCTGCATGGGGTACTATTCGCTGAGTGTCCTTCAACAGGCCTCGATTCACTGATATCCCGCGATATGCCACTTGACACACAGTTCTACAAAGCTTGCAACAGTCTCAGGGACAGCCCGTGTAAACATGGGAGAACAGAGAATAAAGTGATTTGCGAACGCTGCAGAGCCTCAGATTTCATTCTGATCGCCTGGCGACCTTGACTGGCACTCACGCGAACAGATGCCAAGACAATAGGCTGTGCCGTCTGTGCAAAGAACGCCTGGGAGGCCAGCGACTGGCCTGGCGCTGCCATGCGCTTCGCACACCTCGAGACGCGGCCTAGCTTGGCCACCACTCGGCCACTCTTTGCCCACTCGGCCCTCCGAGCCGCCAGGCGCAGGCGGGCTTTCTCTGCCGAGAGGGGCCGGCTGCCACCCGGTCGAGCTTCACGCAGCACCTGCCCGCAAGCTCCACATCAAAGCTTGCTCGTGAAGAGCGTACCTGCAAGAAGCTTCTCACTACCATCACTCGCCGTTCTGCGAGGAAGGGCCCTTGGCACGTAAACGTGGATTAGTGGATCCCTTCGATGTACCCAGTATAGAGGCGTGCCAACGCGCCTCGACCCATACCTTCTGCAATTCCGTCCAGCCATGCTGACCTGAAAAAGCAGAAAACGACGCGTTGAGGAATGCTCCATTCGCACGGAATGCTGCGAGTGGGTCTGACGTCAACATCAGCATCGTCAGGCATAGACTCTTCAAGCGCCGATTCCTCCGAATGCCTGCCCTTCGCTTCAACCTTGCTCGTCGAATTAACCCGGTCGCAACAAAAACCTCCGAAAGCTTCATTCATCGCAGAGGATAGGTCCGGCTGCGGGTGGGGCCCGAAGGTTTCGGAGCTCGGGATTGATACTTTGGTATTCGCGACTTCGGTGTGAATGCTAGCAACAGTCAGGGATCTGCAGCACAGCAGTGCACCGAAGACTGCAACTGGGACGGCCGCGCGCCAACCCAAGCCGCCAACGCCAGGCCAAGGCCTGAGCCCTCCCTTCCCAACCCAAAGGCCATGCTTGCAGCTACTTCTGGAATTACCTTGACATGACAAGAAGCAACTCTGCCTGTGTCAGAGATGATGTCGTTGGCGACTCGATAACACCGGCCAAGCATCCTTGTTTGGGACAGGCAGCATGTTTGCAATGCAAACTGCCCTGAAACCAGCTAGTTCAAGCACGTTCTTGCCCTGCGGAACACCTTCCTTTGTATGCTCCTGACAGCCCATGCATCCGTGCAGAACAAGGAGAAGCACTTTGCAGGCGATGGAACACTCGGATCGTGTCTTCAGGAACACGAGCAGGCAATGATTCGAGATGTAGCGTGCCACCGACCCAAGAAATTCCGTTTGCAAGAAGCCGAAACCACAAAGCCCGTGGACGTGGAGCTGCTCCAGTCCGAGCATTCGCTCTTCTCTCTCTCTCTCTCTCTCTCTCTCCGTGAAGGCCTGTTGTCGGATCACTGACTGCGAATATTGAAGCCTCCCCAACACATGGCATCCGGTATATGGTGTCTTTTGGGCATCCGAGATCTTCCACGGGCACCGCACTGCACCATCTGGCAAGCAAAAACCCGAGTATGCATCAAATCGCTCCAGCCCCCCGGAATGTGCTGACTCTTGGCCGACGGCGAGATAGCTTGAAAGTTCACCGAAATCGAGAGATCTTGGGCCGCTGCGGTATGACAGCGGGATGCATGAGAGTTCAATGTGCACCTAGACCCTTCCCAAACAGCCATACTAGGTGCATCAACATTGCGTATAACGTTGGAGCGGGGCTTTGATCGGGAAGGAAACTTTGGCTGCTGCACCGTCGCTTCTGGCCTCGAGAGCCTTACAAGCTTTGTGTCAGGCTTCCCTTTTGCTGAGGTTCTTGCAGCCGCTTTCAGATGTGCAGACCGAAGCACCGCAAGGGCACCCGAGGACAGGGACTTCGTGCTGCAGTCTGTTTCCCAGCGGCTTTAGCCCAAGGCCACACATGCTGGGGAATGTAGTTTCTTTTGCAGCCATATTGTCGCAGCCAGAAGCATTGCAAGAGCGTCAATGGTGGAGATGCATGTCTGCACAGTGGCAGTAAGACTGAACGCCTGTGTTGCTGTTTCCAACGTGCTGTCGAGCCATGTCGTGCCGTTACCGAACAAGTGCTTTGTGCTCCTTGCCTTGCTAAGCTGATTCATCACATCATAACACCCGACCACCCGACGCCAGTCTTGAAGCTGAGATCTACGACCCGCCATTCTGAGGTCGTCAGGCTCCACCAATGCCAAAGCTTCCATCGTCTCTGCGCCGAATTGCTCAAACTTCTTGCCGAAATGAATCAGACGAGAGCTTCCAAGAGCCGCTTACCAACAGGCTTGCATACAGTTCGTCGAAAGGTGGCCTCCGTCTCATGCTGGGCACAAATCCTTAAGAGGCGGAGCGTTCAGGGTTGCCGGAGCCGAAATGACAATCGTACTGATGCTGCACTGTTACAGTGTTAGCAAGCCTTGATCTATCATGTAGACTTGTCAATTTCTGCTGCAAATCAGCAGGGTCGGCTTCTTCTCGACATGCTCCATTCATGTCAAACTACATGCCCCCCCTGCCAGAACTACAACAGCCCAAGAGCCATGCTTCTGTAATTACAGAAACCTGAGAATCACACCGGAGCTAACCACTGCTGCGTAGCTTGGCCTGGGCATGCAAACTGTTGCCCAGACCTCACCGAGCAACCCCAAGAATTGAGAAGGGGAGACCGCTGCGGTCAGAGAGGACTTTATAGGGAACATGCCTGCAGACTGCCTACAGCGATCCGCCTCAGGTCGGATTCGCAGAGTCCAGATTCGGCCTGCAGTCATTTTGCAACTGCAACATGCAGCACCTTTCCGCACACACGACCAACAACTCAAAGACTATTCCTTCTCATGAACATAAACCGATCTGCACACCCGTTGAGGCGGAAGCTAAAGCCATTTCCGTTGCCCAAGCTATATGGTCCTGTAGCCAGCCAACACACATCAATGCAACCGCTCGTATCATCGCCATCAACTCCGGCTCACACAGGAATGCAGAAGTGGGTACCAGTCCTCATTGAGCTCGGCGCTGTTTCCACAAGCACCCATCGCAAGCTCGTCTCGGAAAGCAACACGAGGCAATGCTTCTGCTCAACACCGACAGTAGTTTTGCATCACCGCATCACCCGTCAGGCCGGATTCAATCCGAGCACAATATAGGTCCGCGGCAAAGGCGTGCAAGCACTGCATGAAAAGCGTTGGCCTCGGCTCCAGCAAAGCTTAAACATCACTTTCACATGTTGGTGAAATTCTCCACCGGAACCTGAAGCACTGTGCCTAGCTGGAAGCCTAGCCACTCGCAAGTGGCAGTGTGTTGTAGCAGACCGGACCTCGGATGAAGAGGCCCGATTGCCAGCCCGAACCCCAACGACGTTGAAATAACGTGCTACATCGTACTCTTCATTTACTCTCGTATAATATGCATACGTGACTTGCTAACCATCTGCACATGTGTGAATTTACATCTAGCGATGTATGTGAACTGCAATTTGAAGTAACATGTGAACATGCCTCTTGTGCAAGCTGCTATTACCATCCTGCTAACAACAGCACGAATGTTTCGACAAGTGGTTTCAAGTAGTACCGCTATGCAAGCTGTGAAAAGCGGAGGAATCCACTTAACTCTCGGTCACAAAGCAGTGGTGAGTCCAATCGTGCACCCGGCAAGCAGAGCAAGGCAGAGCAACGCAGGGCAGAGATCATATCAGAGTTTAGTTACGTTGGTTTGACTACACAGCTAATATACAAAGCTAGGCCGTCCCTACGCACTAGCGGCCTTTTGCTGGACGTTGCACAAAGCACGTCTTGAGCTTGACCAGGTGAAACAAGGTTGGCAAGAACCTCACAAGCATCCAGGGTGTACATGCTTTCAAGTCGATGACAAATCACACCCCCCTCGAAGCGAGCTCACGCGTGAGAGACGCGGAATATAAAAGTGTCAAACGACTCTGGATGTACATCGAGCCATACCTCTTCCGGAGCAAGCAAAGCTTACAGCAAAGACACCTTGAGGCATGGGTCGATTCCTGGCGTTTGATCGTACCAATGTTCCACGCTATACATTGCAGCATGTTGAACGTTAGTTATGTAGCGATGCATATGAATCGGAACACACCGGACAGATCTAGTTTCATCGAAGATCGGATTTGCACTTTTGACCGACGCGCTCGGAGCGGCGGCTCGGCAGCATCGAGTGTCAGTGAAAAGAGAGAAAGAGAGAGAGAGAGAGAGAGAGAGAGAGACAGAGACAGAGACAGAGACAGAGACAGAGAGACAGACAGGCAGACAGGCAGACAGGCAGACAGGCAGACAGGCAGACAGGCAGACAGGCAGACAGGCAGACAGGCAGACAGGCAGACAGGCAGACAGACAGACCGACCGACCGACAGACAGACAGACCGACGGACGGACGGACGGACGGACGGACAGACAGACAGAGACGCATGAGGAAAATACCATGACTAGCAATTGCACACCTGTGGGTCTTCTTCTCAGCATCAGCGAGGACGAGGCATGCTGAGGAAAGCGATGGAAATGATGTTCAATCGAAGCTACACCATCAGATCCGAAGTGAACATTAACCGCAGCTCCATTTGGCGATAACGGTACATCATAATAATCATATATCTTAAACACGCCCCCTCATGTGTTGGGTTCACCTCACCATATCTTAAACTGGCCATATTACAACATTTCTTCACATATGTTACACACGCCTCCTCATTTGGCGATAACGGTTCATCATATATACCTTAAACACGCCCCCCTCACTCGGCGATCACGGTTCATCATGTATCCTAAATTATCTTAAACACGCCGCCCTCATTTGGCGACAACGGTTCGCCATATATCTTAAACTTAAACATGCCCCCTCCACCACTAACCTCTTAAACATGCCCCGACATTTGAGTATCCCGGCTCATCATATATCTTAAACACTGGCGGACCGATGACCGACTGTTCGACTGACTGACTGCCTGGCGCTCGGCGCATGGACCAACCGACCGAGACTAACCGACTGACCTGCGTGCTCGCGTACCGACCGACGCACCGACTGACTGACTGACCGGCGGGCTCGCGGATCGTCGGACGACTGACTGTCTGATTGGCGCACGGCACCGACCTACTGACTGGCTGCCCGGCGGCTCGCAGATCGACTGACCGACTGACCGGCTGATTGGCTGAGGGGAAAACCAAAAAAATACCCCAAGAAATAGAAGACTAAAACAGAACCCCCCCCCCCACCCACCCCTGGCGAACTACGACGCGACGGTCACGTGAGTGACAGGCATCCCCGATGCGGTCCACACCAGACCCGGAACAAACGCTGACAGGAAAAGACTTGCAGTAGCATTTCAATCGATACCTCGGGCGATTCAAGTGATGGGGCAATGGGGGCTGTGCGAGGTCTGGTCGTGTAACGTTTCTCGACATGCACGGTTCTTGAATCGCATTGCAGCGTACTGGGAACAGGGCCATCAACCGACAGAAGCAGATGGTGGCTTGAAAAGCTCCTTGCCTAGCTCGTGGCTGTCTCACGACACTTTGCAGGCGGACACTGACTGGCGATTGCCTCACACGGCGCACACCACCACGGCTGCGCATTGGGCTTCGGGCCTTTCGTCAAGAGCGATCCAGGGTCTTCTTGAGGTCTACTGCAGTTCAACTTCCTGGTCTCTAAGGGGCGGAAGTGTCGCGCAGCTCTTTTGATTCTTTTGCTTTACATGGAACGAGCGTCGCATCAGCGATGCTCCAGATGTCGAGTCCACGAACCGACGAATTCATCATGTCGTACGCAAGTGTCAGGATGCTGGAGGAAGGAGTCCGCATCGAGCCTTTGACACCAAGAGAGGCGGACAGCTTCACTTCGTCAGTAGGCTTGGCTCGACATCGGTGACTCCGTCCCTGCAGCATCTCACGATGTGGAGTGGACTGTTCTAAAGCGTTGCCAGCATCTCACGAGCACAGCTCCCAAGCTTGGGAACATGGCTGATGTAGGCAACGTGCACATTAATTACCGTAGGCACAGGTGCTGGCCAAAAGCCTTCAAATGCCTTCCGGACATCCCTAAACCATTCAAAGCTGTGTCCGTCCTTGATGGCTCCCTCTTGCTCTGAAGAGGTGTTCAGAAGTCATTTCGGTGTCAACGGGGGTAGCTAAGAGTTGTGCAACTTCTGCCTGGAGACGAAGTCTTCTGGTGAAGCTTCTCTTGTGACGTGCGAGCTAGTCGCTGGTCTTCGGAGTCTGTCTTCTCCGGAGACAAAGTTGCACAGCTGCAGTGCAGGCCGATCCAGGTGATCGAAGGCCTCTGTACAGGAGTCGCTCACAGTCTAGTAGATCTTTACAGAGCCTTGCAAAGCTTCAGAACTGCTTCGCAGCAGCAGTCTTACTGGTCCGAAGGATGGATCCGCATTTCAGATTACGACCTCCACCATGGATTACATCCCACTGCAAGCAGCACTGTTCGCGCATGGGCCCGCATGCCTGGAGATCCGTTTGGAATCTCCACGGCATGCCACACTTTTACTTTATCCATGCTGATTCCCTAAAGGGATGATAAACCGTCCGTTCGAAAGCGTGAATTTCCACGGCCTGCATTCAAGGCTTACCCTGGATGCGATAAACCGCAGAATTTCAGAGACATAGTGCTTCGCGTGTGTCCTCACACCATCTCGGCCAGGGCCGGCGACGGCTCAGAGCTTCCGCTTCCAGGCTCCACGCACATAGACCTGCCTGCGGGAACACGCTGATGGCAACTGCGCGGTCTCCGCAGCATATCATGCCATGATATGCCATGCCTCGCCAAAGGCGGCAGCACCCACCAAGCATTGCGAGGAGAATCATGCACGGGCCGAAGAGAAAGGCAACACGACCTGGGCCGTTCTGTTGCGTAAGCTACAAGCAAGCCTGACACGGTTCCGCTGCCTCCAAAGCTTCGAATCTCGGAGCGACGTCTTGTTTCAGGCGCACGTTGTGAGCAGCTTAAGCTTTGAGAACTCGTCGTGCACAGTGCAGCCGTGCTGCCAAGCCAAAGCCCGAATGTGGCTTGTCGGAGCAGGTCGCGCTTGTCGCACACCTCGCCTTGGTTGCAATTATTTGCAATTGCACCCCACCGGCCCGACCCCTCGGCAAACTCAATCGCTTCTTTGCTGATATTCCGAGGCACAGGGTGCGGTGTGCAAAACTGCCATGGTCAGCTCAGCGCGGGAGAGGATTCGGACCCGGGTGATGTAGCTGCCTCACACTCCGACTTGGAAAACGAACTCTGATGCATGCTACAGGCGACGGCAAATCTTTCACGCATTCGGCCCAGATGCCCACAAGCCCATCTGACACGTAGAGGAGAAACTTTCCCCCTGACAGCCTTGCAGGCTTGCAGGACTCCGACTCATGGACTGGCAGAAAGGGTTCGTGAGTTCGTGCACCTGTAGAGGCCGGAGAGGTATCCGCCGGAGGAATGCGCGGCCAGCGCTTGAATCGGCCAGAGCTGGCCTCCATGCGTGTGTCCTGACTTGTCAGCCATGTCTTCATATAGCGTGACCCATATAGCACGGCCTTCGTAGTCATTAGGAAGTCTTGCCGAAGCTAGCTCGCGAAATCTGTACGACGGCATGGTTTTATTTCATGTTGTTCGCGATGCACCATTAGGAAAATACTTCGACCACAATTTCGGGTCCATGCAGCTTCAGCAATGTCACCTAGTATGGCCAGTCGAATGGCTACTACTAACCATGACCTGTCTGGAAGAGGTGAAACGCTGCCATAGCGGAGGGTTACAACAGTTTCCATCTTCGACCCCCAAGATTCACCGTCAGGTTCAGGCTTCAGCATCGTTTCATGAAGTAGTCGGGGGTGGGTGGGGGGGGGTGGATTGCTTTGTCCTAGCTGTGTTAAGATTAAGGGGTACCTGACGTGCTAAGATTAAGAGGTACCTGACTTCGGAGGTATTTCAACAACCTGAAACCTAAACCCTGACCAGGGCCTCAGTTTGCGAGGGACTTAGGTTTACGGTAGGCTCAGGTTTTAGAGTTTTAAGATTTTAGGTTAAGGGTTTGGGTCTGCGGTTGAGGGTTGAAAGAGACACTGATGAAACGACGCTTCATCAGCAATGTGCAATGCTTAAGCTGGGTCTGTTCCAGCTGTACCTAGTCCGGAGAACCCGAGTGATAAGGAGCTGAACTGAACATTCCCGGTCGTCAACGACTTTCTCGTGATTGAAGTTCCCAGCACGTGCTACCCATGCTCAGGATCAGAATGAAACCAATGGACCAAATAGCACGAACTTCTTGAGACAGAGCATCAACTCATGATTCCTGCCATGTCTTGGAAGAGTACTACTTGCAGCGTGCAGACACGAAAACAGGCACGATTTACACTCACTAGTTCAACTCACATCAAGACCCTGCAGAAGTTAAGTTGTTGAGACAGCTGTTAGTCCCAAGAACCGGTTGGCTACGGAATCATTACTATAGCGTTAACAAGGCATGCCATTCGTTGCAAACTGACGGGGTCCGGAAAGCTGGAGCTGCACATTGCTTTCGGCCGCGGCATCAGCATGGGGCCATGGGCGGTGGGCCACCAACACAGTCGGCAGGTCCGGCTGGCGACCATCCCTCGGACGTTCGAACCATCGCAAGGTTGCCTCTTGACTTTTGTGTAGGTCTGAGTCCGAGGCAAAGCCTTCTTCAAGTCAGGTGCGCCCATAGTGTCATCAACACCTGCCAACACAGAGAGACTCGTTCACTGGTGTTCTTGGCCTTGCCTGGTGGCGAAGGACACAACTACGCGGTATTACACCTGCATTCACTCACGACTCTTTTGTCCCAGGTTTTGTGTCTGCAACGGTCTTGGCAAAACAGCATGGGGTGTACATATCCGAGCAAGAGAGTTCAAAGTGCTCAAAATGTTGCGTGTAAGCGCAGGGGGCCTGCTTGGACCTACCCTGCTTGCCAAGAGTCATCAGGTCCCCAACATCCAATTTATCTTGTTGCCCGTGAGTGTCATGCAGGACACGACGGCACGTTTGACCGGGCAAGATGGGTCCAGGTCCGTTCGCTGTCTGCAGCAAGTCTGCCAAAATCTAATCTCGCCTCCTCGCACTGCACACAGCAGCCCTCGAAATTCCGAAGGGGCAGGCCAGCAATGATGGAGCGGCTGAGACCATTCTTCGGTTTTCGTTCGTCGATCTGCAAACTCCCCATCGCAGCCTTTACCACTTTCTTTCTTGAAACATGGAACCTTTGGTAACTAACTGGCCTGCTACGGTGATGGTTGAAAGCAGACACACCTCAACCTACTATCCTCCTAACCAAGTTCTGTGTGAACATGCATGCAGCCCATGTCGTATGAATAGGTATACCGTGAACTGAGCAGCAGCGACAAGAGCCAGGAATCCAGCCTGCAAGCGTAATGAGCTTGGGTCCCTTCAGTGGGAGCTCCACATGCCTGAGACGTACGGTTCCCGTTTCTCCACTGCATGGAACCCGAGGCAAGCCCCCGCACAGGAGTTCGTCCACAGTCCAAGGGACGAATTGTTCAGCGATGCAAAGCCATGTCGCTGCCAGTACTCTGTCCACGCTTCGGCCTGTCGCAAAAGGGTGTAGAATAGGAAAGCAGGAAATGTCTGCGGCTTCAATTCATTTGCCCCAGGCCTCTCCACGCTGCCCCTTCTGCCCTTTGTAATTGTAATACTCGTGGTTACCTCAAGCAGACTCAAACAACATCTGCTTTCTGCATTGCATCTCTGCGCAAAAACTCGAGGGCCTCTTTGCAGATGCTTACACGATGCAGCAGTCACGAGTGACATTACTGCACATCACTGTTAGTTGACCATGTGTAAGCCACAGCTATCAAGTCATGAACAAAACAGATTGTTTGTGGATCAACTTCGACGACCACTAGTGAACAACACCCTCTCCCCTGGTGCCAGTTCGCATCCTTGTGTCCAGCTTGCAGAAGCTTAGCAGCCAAGCCGCCAGGAACATAGTATGCGCCATCTGCGGCAGCTGATGCCAGGTTCGCGAAGGCCTCCATATTGTGCTCGCGAAGTTGCACCGATCCTGGTCAAGGGCTCAGAATGACAGCCTTCGAACATGATGAGCGAGCTTTCCTGCAGCGCACTTTTTACGAGTGGTACATGTGTTTGCCAAGAAAAATCAGCAAAGAAAAGGAGTTGCAAGAACGTGCGGCAGCAAGGCAGCCTTCTGCAATGTCTCCGTTGAGGACAATCGCATTGCAGCCCCTGCAGTCTGACAGGCATTCTGAAGATAGTGCTGAGATGATCGATGTGTCGAGCGGCAGTTGCGAGACACCCTCCGCTATATACCTTGCATTGGACCGGAACACGCACATGCACATGATTCTGGTACAGGAATATGCATCAACTAGATCGCAGACCAGCCAGACTTAAACAGCAACATTTCTTCAACTGCACTCGGTCAGCATCAAGGACGAAAACAGTGTACGAAACTGACGTGGCCCAGCTACTTATGAAAAGTCACACCAGGTGACAGCCTTCAACACTCACTACCTGCCAAGGACTTCGTGGAGTAGCCAGTCCAAGTAGCCTCAATTTGTCTGTGCCGTAGATAGGTCCAGCATGCAGGTCACTGAGCTGGCAGAGGCTATATCCTTGGCTGCAAAAGACCTTGACATGGCCACAGTGTACGGTCCTACTTATGCTTTCACCTGTCTCCAAGTCTGACTTCCTGCGTCGCATGTTCAGCTTGCCTCCAAAGGTTTAGCGGCTCTCTTGCTGGATGCGATGCTATATCGAAATGATTCCATGATTTTCCCGTGCAAGCTTCCTTCCGCAGCCTGAGGAAGCTCGGGCACCTGCAAACGTTCAACACAGATGCAGAGCGACGACGAGGCACATGTGCGGGCTTGCACGAAGAAACAAGGCCTCCAGGTGCAGCCTCTCGACATGCGGTCCTTCTGAACCACAGCTGGATCGAAGTTTGGACATCCAGACTCAATCACTTGAAGAAATTCTGTCCTCCAAAAAGGCTCAGGAACCCCAAGGCGCTGACCAAGCAGAGGGTAAAGTGATTGAGCACACGCTCATGTTGCCAGCCTGCCTGCGCAAGTCTACGAAGCAAGAATAACCAGGCACGCTTCACAACCACCTTCACATGGAAGGAGTCCAGCGCCACGGCGAAAAGCCTGCCGCAGCTGTCTCTCTCTCCCCAGGGAATCCTGTGGCTGATGCAAGAAAGGCCTGATGTTGATGCAATTGAAGGTGGCGACCTCGTTTTCCAACCCGTAACGACACAAGACCGACACCCGGGTGCCTGATGGAGGTATAAACTGAACCCTTTTCCCTTTTTCTGATCCCAATCTGTGTTTTCTAACCCTGAACCTGTTGAACAAGCTTGCAGTGTATCACTCCGTCTGACAGCTGAGATATCCCAACTGCCACCATTGCATTATTTCAGGTTTAGACCATGCTCTATCGTGCTGAGCCACAGCGTAGAAGCACGCCAGGTAGGATCCGCTTTCCGACATCCATGTGTCCTCGTCGTTTGCTGCAGAAGCGCTGGCAGTACTGACCCATTTCATCGTGTGGTGGCTTACTATCTTGTTAACGGATACGTGTGGATGTCCGGTACCCCGCTCCTCTCCATCTCTCGACGTGAGCACACAGTAGATTGCAAATCCACCAGTGCCAAAGAGAAGGACCTCGCCGAACAACACACATCGACAGCGAAAAGTCTGCATGTTGTTGCGATGACGTCCCTTGCTCATGCTTCAGCCCGATGCTGTGACAAGCCTTCGACACATAATATGCATGCTCTGGAATCCAAAGCTTTGCGAGCAATGATTAATCCGCAACAACACGTACTGTACAGAGCAGTACACCGTGGCATCAGTGCAGGCAAGGACGCCGTCACGAGGAAGTCTCGGATCGACCACTTGCCTTTTGGCCGAGAGGTCCACCAAAAGCCCACTGACCAGGGAATAAGCAACACTGTACCTCGACTCTGGCTGTTGAATGCTGTCGTCAACCAAACTTGGAAGAATCCTTGAATCTCGATCCGAGAGGCATACTGCCATCACGGCCCCAAGGGCTTTGTCAGAGGGCGGGTCTATGAGCTGTAGCTTCTTCGGCTTGTCCGGAAGCAGGGACTTCTCTAAGTTCACCAGCGCAGCAGTCTCGGTCCAGCTGACCAAACACTGGGTGCACAAGAGGGCCTACTTCTTCAATGCTCAGAAAGATCAAGCGCAACAGTTGTGTATCTCTCTGATCTGAATGAGCCGTGGCACAAACAGGCACATTTTCCCGTGAAAGAGAACAGAAGAACAGCAACAAGAAGAGGACATTTTGCCGTATCCCGCACTAATTGAGGACCAGGCCAATAGCCCAAGCCAGATGACAGCTGCTGCTGTCGTCCGACGGATTCCCCGTTGGACCAGCACAGCAGCAACCAGTCTCTTGGCACGCCTATACCTGATCATATATGGTGACAGAGCACAAAGAAAGAAATGAGATAACTATGGCGAGGAGTGTGCATTCCAAGTTCGTTTGATGGTACAACAGCAAAATGCCAAGCTACATCCATCGCATCATTCTCGTCGTCTCTCCAGCGTGCAGCAGCGGTTGTGCCAATCCAGAAGCAGGCGTGCGCTGCGCGCTGGTCCGTAGCATGCGCAGTGCCTTACAACCTCGTGCCAACAGACTTCGCAAGTTAAGGTTCGTTCCTTGTTTCCATTCAACGGAAGAAGGAACCCGGTTCCCTTTTCTGGTTTTGGCACCTTCCTCACACTTTCTACGCCTTGTGGCAACAAATGGCAATTGATGCCTTAGTGGCTCTTTGCTTGAGCCCAGCTGAGTGGGAAAGTCTCCGAACCGATCTTTAACCTGCACATGCTTGCAATCTCATAGTCCCATCCCGCCTGCACAAGCGTCTTTTGGTGCACGACCCGAGTCCGAGCCTACGTGACGAGAGCGACTCATGGCGACCTGCTGTCGGTGCCCAGCGCCTTGGAGAAGTCACTCGGTGCCCTGACGGCACCACCACTGGCCTTTCACAGAATCTTGAAGGTGCAACAAGGTAGAAGAGGAAGCCACTCCTTGCCGGGGCCTTCCAAGAAGTCATAAACTGAAGCAAGGCATCCTGGCACGACTCGGGGTCGACGCCGAAGTGCTTCCAGGCTCTGGGAGCCCTGCACGGCTGGCCACCGGCAGGGCATCAATTGCTTCCCGCCGTGAGACACGGCCCATCCTGCAACAAACACGAGCAGATGCCAGAAAACCCACAGAATCTCTCAATGCTACGTAGTCCCTGAACAATGATCCGTTCTTTCATGAGGGCGTGCAGATGTTTTTGATTGAGGCCTTCAAAGCAGAGACCTGGCCACGGTGTTCCGAAACACGAAGCGAGTCAAGGTGCATGTTCCATGATGTTCCAGTTTAGTGCCTCTCAACCAAACAGCATATCCTACCCAGCCGCCGTCTGTGGCCCAGGTGGTCCTCTGGAGCCAAGATACCAACCTCCATGGCTTGACAGCTTGTCTGCTGCTCCTGGCTCGAATCACCAGCTACAACCAGTGCCTCTTCAGACGTTGTCGAGCAGGCCCACACAGGGATCCCTCGGACAGGCATCCCGGGCATGACGTGGCAGCAGGTGAGACAGACGATAAAGGCAGAGACCGTCGCCAACTCCATCGCAGCCTGATTGAGCAAGTACAACGTTGTGCCACTTACAGCAGTTGCAGCAATTGCCAGTGCTGGCCAAGATGCTTCGCTGCCTTCGACTCAATCTCGTCGTCGCCGCCGGTCTTCTCGTCGTCGATGTCGTTCTGAAATTTCTGCTGAAAGCAAAGAAGCAACTCGAGGGGCCTCGCACCTCGCGGTCGCTCCATGGCGAGGCAGAGGCCGAGACGGAGGCTGCTCGCAGAGAGGGCCACGAAGTCGACGGACGGCAAGACCTCGGAGCGGCTCGCCGCCAGCGCAACCGGGTCGACACCATCTTAGGCGGCTGCGGTCATGGCGATGGCAATACTTGCTGTGGCCACACACGGCCACTAAATCTGAAAAGGCTTTGCGAGCCCGAATCTGCGCGGTCAGAGCAGCCAGCGAGAGAGAGAGAGAGAGTGCCTTTTTGAAGCTCCCCTCAAGCCTCCGATCCAATACACAAGGCCCAGCATCACTTGGAAGAATCCAACTGCTGACAGGGGTTTAGGCTATTCAACTTCAAGATGTTCTCTACAAGACTCCAAAGTTCAGACCGCTCTGTGATAAACGGCTCTGGATATTGATCTGTAAACACCGTGCATGATATTCGGCATGTTTGCATCCAAGAGCTTGGCAGCCTCCTCTACTCTTCTACAGAACTTAGGTTGTGGCAGCAGACAGAGAGAGGGAGAGAGGGCGAAAGAGAGAGCGAGAGAGACAGCGAGGGAGACAGAGAGAGAGAGAGAGAGCGAAAGAGAAGAGAGAGAGAGACAAGGAGAAGAGAGAGAGAGATAAGGAGAAGAGAGAGAGAGAGAGAAAGAAGGAGAAAAGAGAGAGAGAGGAGGAGAGAGAGAGAGAGAGAGAGAGAGAGAGAGAGAGAGAGAGAGACGACGAGGAGAGAGACGAGAGAGACGAGAGAGACGAGAGAGACG